ATATATATATATATATATAAATGAACCACTTTCCTGTATACCTGAAATTAACCTTGTAAATCAACTACACTTCAATAAAATTTGTTTTTAAAAAGGAAAAAAATAAAAAACAAATACAAACAAGTGGAGACAGAACATCATCATTAGAATAAACTAACAATGAAAACACCCTGCATACAAAGATGAAAGAGAAACTTGTTGTGTGTTAGCTTTCTAAGTTACAGAAGACCAGTTTCCATGTTCTCCAAATCCACACAGGTTACTGAAATCACAAAAATCCTGAAGCAAAGTTTATGCTAAGGGTATAAAACCCAGATTTAACTAGCAACAAATAGCAATCCAAGGTATATTTAGAGATTTAAAAAGACTGAAGATAAAGCTACGTAAAAACTAAAGCACAGAATGTTTGAAGCTGATTTTCCAAACAGATTATACAGGATGGCACAAAAGGATTCATACTCAAGAGAAACTGGACTAAACGTTCTTTACTTAGTGTAAGAATCCTTAATTTGCAAAACTCCTCCTAATTGTACCATGTACTTATCTAAAAGCACAAATACACAGAGATGTACCTTTAAAACGGCAGCAGAACTCAGTCATAAAAAAGAACGAAATTTTGCCATTTTGCAGCAACATGGATGGACTTTGAAGGCAATATGCTAAGGGAAATAAGTCAGAGAGAGGAAGACAAATACTGTATGACATCACTTATATGTGCAATCTAAAGAGCAGTTAATGAATATAACAAAAAAGAATCAAACTCACAGATATAGAGAAGAAATTAGAGGTTACCAGCGGGGAGAGGGAAAGGAGGAGGGGCAATACCAGGGGAGGGGATTAAGAGATACAAACTATTATGTAGAAAATAAGCTAAGAGATAGATTGTACAACATGGGGAATATGGCCAATATTTTATAATAACTATAAATGGAACATAATTTTTAAAAATTGTGAATAACTATACTGTACACCTGTAACTTACATAATATTGTACATCAATTATACTTCAACAAAATAAAAGACAAAAATAAAAAAGTTTAAAAAAGCAGTAGAATGGTTAAAGCTCAGGCTTTGGAGCCAGACTATTTGGGTTGTAATCTTGGCTGTGCCATCTACCATGTAACCCTAACCAACATACTTAAATCACAGGGCCTCAGCTTCCCCACCTGTCAAGTGGGGATCAGGGTACCAATATCATGGAGTAGGATATGAGAATTAGGTTAGACTATATATGAAAAAATCTATATACATGTTTATATAAGTACATATATACATACTTAACATATACACACATACATATATATAGATATATATGAAAAACAACAGTTGCTTGGCACATAGTAAAAGCTGAAAGAATTTGCTATTAACACTATAAATCTTTTCATTGTAATTATTATTCAGAGCACAGTCTGAAACTAGATGGAAACTAGTAAAAAGACAATTTGTATATTTTTAAGAAGCTAATGAAGACAAAAGTCAACAAATATCTAATTACCTGATAGAACTTCGATTAGTAAATACAAAAATGGGTTTTATGGCTTTGACCAACAGTTCTCAAAATGGAAAGACCTCAAAGGGGTTTATAGCTTGCACATCCCCAGTAAAGGCAGGAGCCCAAGCTAGTGACCTGTTCCATGGCTGCACAGCAAGACATTCTTAACTAAGCAGAGAAAATAAAGCAACAGCAACAAAACAAAGGGGATTCTCTAAGCCACCTTATGGGGCCACCTGAATGTGGTGAGCTACCTTCTGAGGTCTATGTATTCAAAGAGCTGTCACGTGCAAAGGAGAGAATACGCCATGTCTCAGCTCTTCCCCATTCTTCAGCAGTGGTTTGTACATAACCTGCATTTGAACGTTTTTTTTAACTGACTGACCTCCAGATCAGCTAAGAAATCACAAAACAAAACCCACTACTGCATTTACAGAAGATGCAGCAAAGGTACAACTTAACTACAGATTCCACCCAATAAAGTGAGAAGGGCACTGCACCTGGAAAAGTAAGACCGAGTTCAAGACCCTACCTGACCAATGATTTCAACTGTGTCTTACAGAACTCTGGCACATTAGCCGCCATCTATAAGGAAGGGTTACTCCAGAATGATTTCCCAAGTACGTCCTAGAACTATCATATTACGAATTGAAAAGAAAATCTTCTAAAATTACATAGCAATCCTTAGATTAACCAAAGCCATAAAAAAAGACACTACAAACTAAAAGACTTCACCATTTACAATATTCTTAGCTTCCCTATTTCCCTATCAGAGAAAACCTGTAAACAGAAAGCATCCACTTTATGCCAGGACACTGAGAAGAGTTAACTGATACCAGCAGACAAGTCCTGAGATCAAAGGAGGAGTTAATTCCCAGCAGCAGAGGCTAGGACAGAGGGGTTTCACATCAGCACATGGAAAGGGGAAAGAGAGGGAGGGGGGAGGAAGGGAAGGAGCAGCCAGCCAATCAGCTAAGTGGGTTCAGTTTCTCCTACCTCTGCCCTGACTTCACAGTAACTCTTCCCCACCTGCCTGATAACATGAGAAATTCCTCTAATAAGAGTTAAGGTCTTTCTTTACAGGTTTAAGAATAAAAACCTAATAACGGTCTTTGACCAAGCACATCAGAATTCAATTACACTGAAAGGCAATTAAAATCAAATGAGTTTAAACTACTAACATCAGATTCTTTCCTCTTTGAGCCCTTCAAAGTGGATTAACAAAAAGTGATACAAAAAAAGAGAGGCAAGGATCAGAAAAAGATTAACCTCACAAATTTAAGTGAAGGTTATTTTTGTGCAGTTGTTCTTGTCCCATATAAAGGCAAAAGCAGTTCTGTTTAAATTACTTATAATTAGTTTAAATACCAGTCTTCATTTTAAAAGAGCTTTATTCTCACATCTGCTCATCATGAATTGCTGTCATGTGCACACTACTCTGCAAATGCTGGGCTCACGCTGTCCCACTGCCCACAGCAGATCCACATGATGTTAGCCTGGCCTCCAAGTGCCACTGCCTGGTTCCCAGGCCCCAAGGAAGCAGCCGATCAACTTCCAAAGGTGGCAGGGATATTTATAAGCAGTTTCCCCAATTTTAACCTTTGAAGGAGGGAGTGAAGAAAGAGTGGTGAGTTATGCTTTTGGACAGCAAGACCCACTGGACCCTCCAACCAAGCAAGAATTTGACTGAAATCTCTTCATGGATCAACTGTGCTTAACCTACGAAAGTCATGAAGATTCACTTCTGGAAGTTCTAAAATTATAGGTGCTGATTAGTGATCTGGTAGGTAAAATTGTTTAGACTTACAGGTCAGTATCCAATACCTCCTCCTCCCACTCTGCATCTTTAGAATAAAGCCATCTTTTTCCCAGTGCAATACACATTTTTCTCAACAATGACACAGTAACATGTTCTAGAAAATACTTTCAAAGTCTCTAAAATGCTAACAGTATTCCCAAGGAACATGTTTTTGGTTTTATCACCTCGCTAGATGAAGGGAAAATGCTTTAAGTATCTGTAAGACTTAAACCCGAAGTTTAACTTATTCTACTTCCTCATCAATGACAAGGTAAAATAGTAAACAGGAACATTCGATGTAATCAAATGAGCATTTCAAACATATGAAAAAAATACAATCATGTACTAAGGTAGCCTGGTATTTTCTTTGCTAAAGAACTAAAACACTGCCATTAATATTATTAAACACAAATATTAACAAACATTATTAAGATGATAAAATGTAACAGACCTCGGTTTATCAATTTCATATTACTGAACAGTTTATAAACAGAACTACTCAAGCACCACCTAGGATACTCAATTCTTCAGTATCTTCTCATTAGCAAAAGGTAATTAAAGCTTACCAGAAATCTCTTTTTACTTACCCACAAGCCACGTACTGTCCATTCCTAGATGTGGCAATGCTTAATCCATATAAACTGCCTTCATCAACAAATCTGTTAAGGCACTTCCTAGAGTTCACATCCCAAACATAAACTTCCCCATCCCCTGAATGAAAGAGTCAAGAAAGGGTTTGGTTAATTTTGCTTTAAACTTGAAAGGCAACTGAACTGACCATTCTTAGTCCCTCTTTAGTAGTACAAGGGACTACAAATAAAGACCTACATATAAATGTCCAAGGTCTGGAAAACTGGCCTAAAAATACTTCTTGAGTACATTTCCACATACAGAAAAACTGCATCCTCATTTGTCATTAATAAACAGTATTTTTAGATTTAGAAGTGAAAATCACAAACTCTTGTCTTGAGTTGAGCTTTTAAAGACATGTCTACATTTCACTCAGAAAAACTGCTGGACAAAACTTGAAAAAGCAAAAACCAAACTACCCACCAGCACAGGTCTGCCAATATCTATCAATAGGTATT